GTGATGTTTCCAAACCCCAGTCACCATCCAGTTAAAAATTTATCTCCAGTTGTATCACTCCATTCAAAATTTTACTATTCTGGAGCATGCAGCCACATTTGTGGCCGTACAACATCTCAAACTCTACACCACTGATATACCAGGAGTAGCATACCAGATTGGATAGGCTGTAAAGTAGAAAGCAACCCATCTCAATTAAGAAAATATTAACACACAAGGCTTAACCGGTAACAACATGTTAGCAGTCTCTTATACAAGGGCTTAATGGCCCCACGGTGAGACACAACAATCTTCACACTCACTTTCTTCTAAGGAAACCTTTTTCGATTATTTTTAGTGAACAAGCAATGTAAAAATTATTCAGGGCCTGCTATCAGGCAGGCTTGAGTGGTAGTTGGGAAAATGGAAAATAATGGTGGTGGGAAGGTACAATGGTGGTGGCTTGGCATTGGATATTGAATGCAACAAATTTTACAAAAAAAAATTTTTTAAGAAGGTATGTGATTATCATTATTACATTTATAGTGATTTAATGATTTACATCATTATTACATTTCCTAGGGCCAATGGTCTTCTCATTTAAGGAGTCTAATTAAAAAGTGTATAACAGAAGTAAAAAAATTTTTCAATTAAAAAATAATAAATCCTGGGGCTGGAGTGATAGCACAGCGGGTAGGGCATTTGCCTTGCACGTGGCTGACCCGGGTTGGACTCCCAGCATCCCATATGGTCCCCTGAGCACAGCCAGGGACAATTCCTGAGTGCAGAGCCAGGAGTGACCCCTGTACATTGCCGGGTATGACTCAAAAAAAGAAAAAAAAAATCAATAATAATAAATCCTTACTCGTGATTTCAGTTTCTTGTGCATCATTTCTTCTTAAGAGTGAGACCCCAGCCACAGAGAGAGTTCAGTGGGCTGGAACCCACGCTTTGCTTGCAGGAGCTCCAGATTCAATCCACGAGAACACATGGCCCCCAGCCCCAAGCACTGAGAGGAGTACTGTCAGGTTCAGGAGCCCAGAACAAAACAAATCCTTTCCCCCCAAAAAATGAGTCCAGTCTTCCTTACTACAAAGAGTATAGATATGTGTCACGTTGCTCTCAGGGTCAAGCCTGCAAAACCAACGTTCAGAAGCCCAATATGGCTGACCTGATTCCCACGGCACTACTTGAGTTGGTGGCTTCAACAAGCAGAAGAAACGAAGGAGCAAAAAAAAAAAAAAAAAGCAGGAGGGGGGACGAACATGGTGAATGTGACTGTGGAAGGAAAATAAGAAGAAACCTACAAACGACCACTGAATTTACAGATGTGACTTCCATAAGTACATTCTGGAGACATGGGGAACTTACAGCTGATGAGAGCTGGCTCGAGAACAGAAACAGAGGACTTCTGCTCTTCCAAGGGATTTTGCAATGGACAAGAATATGGAAATGTGGCACCGGTTGGAAGAGCTGGACTTTTCCTTAAGAACAATTATCTGACTCAGACCTCCGTCTAATGCCAGGCACAAAGTCAGGTCAAAATAGATTAAAGACCTTAATATCAGACCTGGTAAAAGGTAAAGGTAAAGGCCCTCCCATTGTTCATCGATTTGCTCGAGCGGGCCCAGTAATGTCTCCATTAGAGACTTTGTTGTTACTGTGTTTGGCATATCGAATACGTCACAGGGAGCTTGCCAGGCTCTGCCGTGCGGGCGAGATACTCTTGGTAGCTTGCCGGGCTCTCCGAGAGGGGCAGAGGAATCGAACTCGGGTCGGCTATGTTGGCTACGTGCAAGGCAAATGCCCTACTCTGTGCTATCGCTATCAGACCTGAATCCATAAGATACCTGGAGGAAAACAGAGAGAGAACCCTCCATGACACTGAAGCTAAAGGCAACTTAAAAGATGAAACACCATTAACCAAGCAAGTGAAGCAAAGATATACAAATGGGACTACATTAAGCTATGAAGCTTCTGCACCTCGAAAGAAACAGTGACCAAAATAGAGAGAGCCCACGGAATGGGAAAGAATATTTACTCAATACCCATCTGTTAAGGGGTTAACATCCAAAGGCACTGGTAGAACTTTATAAGAAAAACCTTCAACCCCATCAAAAAAATGGGGAGAAAAAATGAACAGAAACTTTCTCAAAGAAGAAATACAAATGGCCAAAAGGCACATGAAAAAATGCTCTACATCACTAATCATACAGGAGATGAAAATCAAAACAATGAGATATGACCTTACACCACAGAGTGGCACACATCAAAAAGTGTAAGAACAACCAGTGTTGGCACAGATTCTCGGAGAAAGGTAATCTCAATTCACTGTTGGTAGGAATGCCGATTGGTTCAGCCTTTTTGGAAAACAATATGAGAATTCCTCAAAAAACCAGAAATTGAGCTTCTATAGGACCCAGCAATACCACCTCTGGGATAATATGTACCCCTGGGCTGCAAAAACACACAGCAGAAATGACATCTGCACTTGTATGTTTATTGCAGCACTGTTCACAATACCCAGACTCTGGAAACAACCCAAGTGCCCAAGAACAGACAACTGATTAAAGAAACTACGGTACATCTACACAATAGAATATACTAGACAGCTATTAGGAAACAATGAAGTCATGAGATTTGCTTATAAATGGATGGAAATGGAGAGTATCATGCTAAGTGAAACAAGTCAGGAGGACATAGAATGACTGCCCTCATTTGTGGGAAATAAATATTTTTTTTAAATGTTTAAAAATTTTTTTAAAAAAAGGCAAGATACTAACATCCAAGGACAGTAGTAACAAGGGTTAGGATGAATGGTCCATGGCTGGAAGTCAGCCTCAAAGGCTGGGGGAGAGGATAGTTGAAACAGAGAAGGGACCATTATGACAATAATGATTGGAAAGAATTGCTCCAGATTGGAGATGTGTGCTCAAAGTGGGCAAACACCAAATATGATGGTCTTTAAGTATCTGTATTGCAAACTATAATGCCCAAAAGGGGAGGAGGCGGAAGAGAGAGAGAAAGAGACAGAGAGACAGAGAGACAGAGAAGTGCCTGCCAGAAGAGAGGCGGGGCGGGCCTGGCAGGAGGGGTACAGAAAAAAATGCAGGAGAGGTAGTCGAAACATTAGGACTGGTTTTTTCCCTGTGGAAGGAGGGCTGGGTGCTAGACAGTAAGTTTAAAGCAGGGCTGTGCAGAGAAACACGCCCACAAGAGAAAATATTCTCCTGCCCATGTGGAGCCATAACACTTTACCAAAGGAAAGACAGTGTCTCTTCCCTCACAGAACTTTCTTGTGCTGCCTTTGGATCTAGTGATGATCATAAACGCTCCTCCTCTCCTGTCTGACATGCAAGAATGAAAGCGAAATGGGTCATAGTTAAGCATCTACTGACCCGTTTCAGCAGGAGCTACCAGCTTCTTTCCATTAGGTGGATGAAGAGTAAGGGGCATAAAGCAGAACCCTGCTTCTGACTTTGTGACCTTGAGATTCTCAGTTGTTTACATGATAAAATATACATCCATTTTGTATAGCTTTTGTTTCTGGGCCACACCGGCAGTGCTCAGGACTCAGTCCTGGCTTTGCATTCAGGGATACTCCTGGAGGGACTGGGGGGGAGCCGAGGATCAAACCTGATCAGCCATTGTACAAGGCAAGCCCCCTACCCACTGTACTATCCCTCCACCCCATGTCTCCCGGACTCTGAATGGTAGTGTACACTGTGGCACTGTAGCACTGTCCTCCCGTAGTTCATTGATTTGCTCGAGCGGGCTCAGTAACGTTTCCATTATGAGACTTGTTGTTACTGTGTTTGGCATATCGAATACATCATGGGTAGCTTGCCAGGCTTTGCTGTGCAGGCGAGATACTCTCGGTAGCTTGCTGGGCTCTCGAGGGGGGCGGAGGAATGGAACTCGGGTAGAAGTTTAATATAAGTTGAAAGGATAACTAAACCATTGTACTGCATAGGTGATGAAGACATACTTAGACTTGTCCTATTTCCATAACTTAAACAATATCATGTCTTCAAAGGGTGCTTAATTACCGAAACTCACTTCCTTAGTCCTTCTTCTGCCCCCACACAGTCATTAGTAAAGCTCCTGGCAGATACTACATCTGTGAATGAAATGCATTACTCAGACTTCTAAAAAAAGGGAAATGGCACTGATCTTCCAATACCATTTTATTACACCCTGGCTAAAATAAATTGAGTCTTGAAATCTGATTCATGGTATTCCAGTTTTATGAAATTCAAATGAATACTTGCTTAAATTTGGGATAACCCAAAACTAATATAATGAATGTTTCTTTAGAATCATTACACATGTTCAAAAATTTTCCACTTTTATTTGGGGACCTGGGTGGACCTCCACCCAGATCCTCCATATTCCAGTAGGCAGGGGTCACACCCACCAACTGGCCCCCTGGCGCTGTGTAATCCCATCAATGGCCAAGACCCAGAGACTATAAAACCCAGCTCCCAGAAGCACGCAGCCGCATTTGCGGCTGCGTGACATCTTATTATCTCATTCTTACTTTGGACAAAGTGGCAGGCTACCGAATGTAACCTGCCCACACGGCAGAGTCTGGCAAACTCCCCGTGGCATACCCAATATGCCAAATGCCAGTAACAATGATGGCTCTCATTCTCCTAACTCTGAAAGCGCCTTGAATATGGCACTTTTTAAAAAATCTCAGGGTTAGGACGAAGGAGACGTTACTGGGGCCTGCTCGAGGCAATCGACAAACAACAGGATGGCCGTGATCGTCGTGATCATGATTTCGGGACCATACCCTGGTGTGTTTAGGGCTTACTCCTGGCTCAATGCTATAGGATCACTACTAGCAGGGTTCAGGGGACTAGATGGGGTGCTGGGGATCAAACTCAGGTCACTGTGTACAAGTACAAGGCAAGCACCTTACCCACTGAACTATCTCTTCAGCCTTGAAAATTTTCCACTTCTGTAAAAACAAGAATGGCACAGCTATTCTTTACACAATGCACAGGCTCACATACCTGTTTGAAACACGAGTTCTTTTCCTCCAACACCTGCTGCCTCCAAGTTAATAAATGCACGGACTGAGTTGGCCCAAGGGTGCTGAGTAATGAAACCATGACTGGCCTATAAAAGAAGGAAAGAAAGCAGATATAGCTTAAACAATCTAATATCATTGAAGACTTTATTTGGCTTATTTTGAAGACAGAATGCCTGTACTGTTGAGGGGAACAGAAAAATAAAATAACCTTTCCCAAAGGTACAATCTAAAGATCTCTGTGTGCTTCTTGCTCCCCCTCTGCACAATTGCTGCATGTTGTTTTCTCAGTGGAAAGTTACCCGTCACAGAAGGCAACCTGATTTCCACTGAGTGGTGACAAACAACATTCTTAATAAGTATGGGGCTGTGCACCACATCAGGCAAAACAAGAGCAGAGATGGAATGACCCCTAACATCAGTTGTGTGCAGGCCTCGAAATATCTGAATCCTTGGGTGTACAAGATAACCAGAGATGGAAAGTTCGGGTGAGCCCTTTCCTAAATCAAGCAAGAGGCTCTGTCCTAAGCCAAAGAGTGAATTCTGATGTGAATGAAAGTGGCTGTGCATATGTTTTGTGGGCCACACCTAGTGGTGCTCAGGCTACTCCCAGGTCTGTACTCAGGCCTCTCCTGGCAGTGCTCGAGAGGCCCTGTGGTGTCAGGATTTGAACCCATGTCTCCTGTTTACAGAGCATGCACTCTAGCTCACTGAGTGCTCTAGCCCAGCTGACTTAAATTTTTCTTTGTGGTTCTTTTCTGATATAAGGCCACACCTGGAGGTGGTCGAGGTTTACTCCTGGCCTAGGGCTCAGCGATCACTCCTGGCAGTGCTTGGGGACAAGTGCCAAGAATTAAACCAGGATTAGCCACATATAAGGCCAGCACCTTAGTCCCTGGCCTATCTCTCCATCCCCTAGCTGTGAAGTGTTTCATGTTTTGCTAGGCACAGAATCTCTTCTATAGCATTGACAGTATCATTCAAATGGATAATCAAAATGCCTGAAGTATTTGAAATCATCGAATCTCACTTGCAAGACATTTTCCTCGGCACCATTGAAGAGAAATATGACAGCATGCTGTAAGGCTTCTGGAGACGTCGCCAAGACGCGAAGGATTTCCAGCATCACTGAACAGCTGACTGCATCGTCACTGGCACCTTAAATAAGAAAAACAGATGAGCCTCTCAGATCAGAAATCCTCTCCAGAACGAACCAATATAGCAAGGAAAGGAATGGTGCTTCCTCATCAAGGAAGCATCATGAAACCACAGGCAGCACAGCTCCGCGGTCTCCTGGTGACTCCAGCCGGCAGCACTCAGCTCCAGGAGAACAAAAATCTTTATATGCTTGGGCCCTCTGACTTACTCTCTGTGTCTAGAATCATGCCTTGCCTAGGGCACTCGCTAATACTTATTTTAACTAATCGCCCAGATGGGGTCCAAAGTAATACTGGAAACGGGCATTCTCGTCAACCCAAAGCAATCCGTTTCCTTCTTTATCCTCCTTCTATGTCCTTTGTAGTATTTTTACTTCTGCAATTTGCAGTCCCCTGTAGTATGTCCACTGCCACCGACTCTTTTCCTGCTTGCTCCCCTGCCAAAATCATAAAAACTGCAAATCACTCGGTCTTTACAGAGGATGATAGAGAATTTTTCCAAGGTTTCCCCAAAGGGAAACTATGTGATTAGAAAGTATAAGGAAGACAGCTAAGCTAGAAAGACATAGAAAAAGATACTTATGACCCAGCAGTTAGTCCTGGTCTCTGCTATCATGAAGCACAGGGCAATATCAAGTCACTTAACTTCTTTCTTGATGCAGAATCTTTGTATAGTAATTAAAGGTGCCTATGAAGATGACTTTAAAGCCTGGACTTTATACCAAAGTGGTAGCAGGTCACCCTCAGGCTGTGGTGGTGCTAAGGAGCATCATGTGGTAGAAACTTCAGGCCTCAGAGGCTTAACACATGTGCTCCATCACTTGAGCTATGTCCCCTTGACTTTTGGGGGAGGGGAGGAAGGGAAGGGAGGTCGCCAGAGCAGTGCTCAGAGGGCCTAAAGGATGCTCCCAGCAACTCTCAGTCAATGGGGCCAAGAAAAGGTTCTGCTCGGGTCTGATGGCAGTGCTACAGTTTACTGGAGCCATATGGTACTGGGGCTCGAACTCGGCTAGCCACATGCAAGACAAGCTCCCTACCCACAATATACTATTGCTCCAGCCCAATCTTTGCTTTTTGAAGAGATAGTTAAATTGGTTGGATACTTATATCAAGTCATTATTCTTGACTTTTAAGTGTCAGGTCCTGGGATGGTGGATAAAGTTCAGTGAGGGAACATCTGCTTAACCTGTGTACGTTCTGGGTTTGATCCCCAAAGCTGTCCACAAAAAAACAAACAAAAAGAAGCAGCAAACTGTTGAAGCTAATGCTAGATGATAGGAACACTTGGCTTCATAAAGAGCCTGTGGTTTTGTATACATCTGAAACAGTTCCTAATAATAGTAAGTTTAAAGGGTCACCAAAGAGAAGAGACACAGTAACACACAAACAAAAGTATTTCTGGTTTTGGAGAGAGTATAATGGATAAGGTATTTGCCTTGTTAATAGCTGACCTGGGCTGGATCCCTGGCATCCCATATGGTCTCCCAAGCCCTATCAGGAGTGATCCCTGAGTACAGAGCCAGGTCTAAGCCCTGACCACTGGCAGATGTAACCCAAAAGCCAAGAAAAACGTATTTCTGGGTACACACGCAAGAAGCCAAGTTATCATTCTGCCCTGCTTTTTCCTGGTTCAGGGCAGGTTAATGACACCTCCCTCTAACATGTACTATAAGAAATAATTCACAGTTCCCTGTATGTGGCCATTCTATGGTAGTCTTTCCTTCTCTTGGCCAACTAAAGGCTCTCCAGTGCATGTTTTGTGCATGTTTTGCAGGCAGGAAGCTCTTCAATTCCTGGCACCATGTGGGCCCCAGCACTGTGAAAAACAACCCCTGAACATGGTGCCAGGGGAAACTCTTGAGCACGTCTTGGTATGGCCCAAAATGACAACAGAAAATCAAAAAGGCAGGGCTGGTGCAACAGCACAGCAGGCAGGGTGCTTGACTTGCAAGCAGCCAACCCAGGTTCGATCCCCAGCATCCTACATGATCCCCCAAAGACCACTAGGAGTGATTCCTAAGTGCAGAGCCAGGAGTAAACCCTGAGCATCACCCAAAACAAAAAGTAAGAGGAAATTCAAAGGTAAGCTGAAAGAAATATACCCATAAAGCATTGATAAAAAAAAGCTGTCCATTTGTCTTGCCTTGTGTTACTGTTTCTAGTAAGCAAGAACAGACCTGAGGAAGGGTCAAATATCCTCAAAAAAGCAAAAGACAGGCAGACTTGGTGATTAAACAACATTCCATTCCATTTAGAATTAACCCTGAAATTAGAACCACCCCCAATTAGCTCAATGGCTCCTCTAACCAACACCCTAGAACCACACAGAAAACCCAAGAAGCTCTCTCCAGCCTTCCTGCAGCACTCCTGACAGGTATCAGTTCCCAAGGTTCCCATATACTGCTGAGAACTTTAAAGAACAAAGGTGGTTTCAGTGAGCTCCTACACTAAAATTATTTCAGTGGTCACTCACGTGTTTTCTTTTCCAATTATTTTTGACAATGCATTGAATGAAATTTCCTTGAGATTATTGGTATAAAAGTCTTATAAGACTTGTCCCACCAGCGAACAGCACCATCATAAAAAGAGGACAATGGATGATAGGGTGATGCTTATTTTAGCAGTTACTGCTTTGAAATAGATATAAAAAGGCTACTAGTCTCCATAGTACAATTTTTAGTTTTAAAAAGTGTACAGCAGGGACTGGAGAGATAGCACAGCGGGTAGGGCATTTGCCTTGCACGTGGCCGACCCGGGTTCGATTCCCAGCATCCCATATGGTCCTCTGAGCACCGCCAGGAGTAACCCCTGTGCATTGCCGGATGTGACCCAAAAAGCAAAAAAAAAAAAAAAAAAGTGTACAGCAGATAGGGTGTTTACCTCACACAATTCTGACCCACGAAAGATCCCCAGTATCCCACAGGTCCCCTGAGAACTGCCAGAGTAATCCCTGAGAACAGAGCCAGGAGTAAGCCCTGAGTAAAACACACAAAAACAAATGAACAAACAAAACTATCGGAGTCGGGAGGTAGTGCAAAGGGCTGAGCACATGCTTTGTATGCAGGAGGTCCAGGTTTGATCCACAACACTGCCAGGAGTGACCCCCAAGCATAGAATTAGAATAGCCCCATGAACCACTAAATGTGGCCCCAAAAATAAACTAGTAAGAATAAAAGTTTAATAAAATGTTTATAATGATTTTTGACAAAGTATGCAATGTGCTAAATAAACAGACTTGGCAAGCTTTCTAATTTAAGATATTCAACTATGAAGTATGAAAGTAAGTTTCATTCTGTACTTTGTATAAACAGATATTCATATTAAACCTGCTCTAAATTCAAATAATACGAAAATAAATAAAATTTATAAGCATGCATTTGAAAAGTTCATGAACAACTTTGCAACTATGCATCTCACAGTGATTCAATAGCACTGTAGCACTGTCCTCCCATTCATTGTTCATCGATTTGCTCAAGCGGGCACCGGTAACGTCTCCATTGTGAGACTTGGTGTTACTGCTTTTGGCATATCGAATACACCACGGGGAGCTTGCCAGGCTCTGCCGTGAGGGCAGGATACTCTCACTCAGTAGCTTGTTGGGCTCTCCGAGAGGGACGGAGGAATCAAACCTGGGTCGGACGCATGCAAGGCAAACGCCCTACCCGCTGTGCTATCGCTCCAGCCCACAGTGACTCAATAAAATATATAAACAAATAAAAGTTCATTCAACAAGAAAAAAGAAAATTAAAAGCAAGCTCACCTCCCATAACTGTTACCATGCTGACTCCCCCACTGGTCCTGCTCTACCAATTCACGACTAAACCTCTGAGGAGGGGCAAGGCGGGCAGCTAAAAATCATGACACACCAGTTCCCCCCATCCCCCAGCCGAAAACCCCGGGGCTCCCTCAGAAGAGGCCTGGACCGAGTCCCAGTCCTGACAGAAGACCGGGCAGCCGCACCCACATCCCACAGTTGCCACCACGCCAACAGTTCAACTCCACTGCTTCACTAACTCTGCAGGGACAACAACCTGCAAAGAGTTTCAGGTCTCTGGCGTCCAGGCTGAGAACTCTGGGGTCTTCTTAGAGAGAGCCTACCCCTAAACCACCCCCACCCCGTAACTTCCAGAAGCCCCAGCAGTCACACCCACTTCCCGTGTCCACTGCCTTGCCAATTCGTAGATCCTGACATCTCCGGACTGGGGACCCCTCCAAACTCCTCAGTGCTGAAATTCCAACAGGAGCACACCAAATTAGGTGGGAAAGTAACACAGAGGCTGACTAAACTCAACAGACCAAAACAGTAACACAGAAGACTCAACAAGCAACAAGCAGCTTAGTAAATCCTCAGGTAAGGACTTAACAACCCAGTGGTGAGACAAAACAATTTTCACCAAAAAAAAAAAAAAAAAAAAAAAAACCTGATTTTTAACATAAAGATTTTAATATTGGCACTTTGTTATCTAATCAATTTCAACTCTAGAACTGTTTTCAGAGTTGCAGCTTTTGCTACATTAAAATAAATACATTTTTAAAAATTAAAGAAAAAAATTTTCTGAAGAAAAGAATTTTTGAAAAAAAAAATAAAAATAAAAAAACAAGAAAAGAATTTTTGGTGCCAGGTATAAGTCTAGTCTATATTGTACATATCCACTCCCTCTTCAGGGCGAAGGGGGGGTGGTGGGGGACATGTGTCAGTGCTCAGAGCTTACTCCTGGCTTTATGCTCAGGAAATCATTCTCAGCAAGGTTTGAGGGACCATTTGTGGTGCGGAGATCAAACCCGGTAGACCACACGGAAAGCAAGATCCCTACCCACTGTACTACATCTCTGGAAGCCAGGCTACATGTATTCTTGTATCTAATCCTCCAGGCAATGCCATTCTGAAAGGAGTCAGAATCTCTACAGATCAGAAACTGAGGAAAGGTGTAATCTGCCAAAAGGCGCAATACCGACATCCTAATACTCTCTTTCGGTCATTCACATGTAGCTAAAACAGATGCTCGGCCAGGAATCCCAGCAGTAGGTGCGGGTGTGTGCCTGACCCCTGGTATTTATTCCAGTGTCCTGAGTGAAGGGTGAACTCCGTGTGACTCAGGGTTCATCTCCTAAAATGCCGATTCTATGGATTCCATGGTAAAATGTTATGATTTTTCTACCCCACCCTATGAAGAGTCTCTCATTACTGAAAACACTGTTCTGAGGAATCTTATTTTAAATAATGGAAGGTCAATTTAGAGGATGTTCATTCATTCAACAAAGACTGTGTCAATGTTTTATGTCAAAACTACTGCCCCATGGAAACAGTAAATGCTCAATTTTGCCAGTATGTTAAGAGGACAATTTATAGATTAATGAGTTACTCTAATCACTAGGGACCAAGATTCTTACTTTACAGGCCACAGAAATTGAGAGATATCCTATGAGCCAAGAATTGCTTAAACACAAGAATCCCAACTCCTAGCACCACACCCAGCAGAGTAAACATCTCATGAGACCAACCTAACCCTAGACTTGTGACACACACTGGTAAAGATAAGGCTGAACTGTCCATCCAGATACACTTCGTGTCTGTCACAAGGTTGCTGGTACTAATGTTTTTTTAAAAAAAAAAAAAATTTAAGTAAAGCACCTGAGAGAATAATGCAAAGTAGATTTGGGCTTTTTCAATTTTGGTTTTTGGCCACACCGGAGGTGCTCAGGGCACAGTGCAAGCTAGAGAGAGAATGAGGGTTTCCCTCCACCTCCCAACCCCTTCCCTGCTGAAAAGTAGATCTTCAAGTGACACTTTTCTATTTAGCACAACCGAATACAAGGTTTGACCATGAAAATGCATCCCCACAACTGCCCAAGCAGCTTGACTTGGACAACGTTAATAAAATTTCTAGGCTGGAAGGGCCTCAAAATATCTAGAAAGGGCGGGGGCAGTGGTTCAAAGTGCTGGAATGCACGCTTTGCATGGAGAAGTCATGGTTTGATCCCCTGCACCACGTGGCTCTCCCAAGCACCAAGTCAGGACTAGTCTTTGACCTCTCTGGCTATGGCCTACTTGGGGCCTCTCAAAATACTAAATGCCTGGGGGAAAAAAAAAAGTATATACCTGGTGAGTTTGCCACTGAGTCGAAATGGCAGTTGGCCAGGATGGCATGCTGAGCTCCAGCTCTGGGCTCCAACTTCACCACCACATTGGTGATGTTGTCATAGTAGCTCGTAAAACCTCCCAAGAAGTCAATGCTGAAGGAGCCCGTGGGCCGCTGTACATCGACGGAAATCTTGTGCAGATGGCTGCTTTGAATTTCAATCAGTTTAATCTGTTCCAAAAGGTAATGGACTGTCAGAATTTCATTTTCTGGACTTCCTGTAGTCCTGGGACCAATCGCTGTTATGTGTTCAAGATAATCCCTGGAAGTGAGCAAACACACAACAAGATGTGCAAGGTTTAAAATGAACTCAGCACAAAGCAACGCTGCCTCTCCACCCTTCTCCCATCCGAAACCAAGTCAGTTTACTTCTCACATAAAAAGGCTGCCTGCTATTAATTCAAGAATGCTATGAAAATAACCTGTAAAGCTTCATCATTTGTGTCCCATGCATTCAATCCTCTGTCCACCCCATTCCCAACTTCTCTCAAACTCCATGTATGAAATCAATACAAAGACCAGAGATTCCATTCACAATTCTAATTGCAAGGGGCCAGAGCAACAGTACAGTGGGCAGGGTGCTTGCCTTGCACACGGCCCACCCAGCCTGGTTTGAATCCTGGCATCCCACATGGCTCTGGGCACCACTAGGACCAATTCCTGAGTACAGAGCTAGGAGTAACCACTTGAGCACCGCTGGCTGTGACACCCCCCAAAAAATAATTCTAAGTGCTAAAGGCTAGAAAAAGACAATACAATTTCAGGATGCCACTCTAAAGAACACCAGTGATTCTAAGGAGCTAAAATTAAAGATCAAAGACAAAGAGGTTGGCCAAGGAGAGCTTAAAAAGGGCTGAAAGGCATAACAGGAGGCCCGGTTTCAATCACAATGGTCCCTCAAGCAACCCCAGGAGTGACCCCCAGCAAGCAGAGACCCTGAGCACTACTGAAATGACCCTTCACATCTCAAAAAACTTCAAATAAAAAAAAATTATGATAAATGGCCGGAGCAATAGCATTTGCCTTGCACAAAGTGACCCAGGTTCAATTCCTCCACCCTCTCGGAGAGCCTAGCAAGCTACATAGAGTATCTCGCCCACATAGCAAAGCCTGGCAAGCTCCCCGTGGCATATTCGACATGCCAAACACAGTAACACGTTTCACACTGGAGACGTTACTGGTACCCGCTCGAGCATGAACAACAGGAGGACGGTGCTAAGAGTATTAAATGAGTGCTCGCTTCGGCAGCACTTATACTAAAATCGGAACGATACAGAGAAGATTAGCATGACCCCTGCGCAAGGATGACACGCAAATTCATGAAGCGTTCCATATTTTTTTGCATTCATCTGGGGAACATAAAGTAACAAAATAGGAGACTAACACCCAAGAGTGGCCAAGATTAGTACCAGGAGTTTTGCTTCATGGCTTGGAGGCCTGCCACACATGCTAGGGGAAAAGGGAATTCAGATAGAGCAGGGAGCACCAAATAAAGGGTGTTGGGAGGATCCTCCCAGGATGGGAGAAGCATGCTGAAAGTAGACTATAGACCAAACATGATTGCCACTCAATGTCTCTTTTGCAAACCACAGCACCCAAAAGGAGAGAGAGAACAAAAGGAAGAGCCCTGTCACAGAGGCAGGGTGGGATGAGGGGGGGAATGGGGGTGGGAGGGATACTGGGATCTGTGGTGGTGGAAAATGGGCCCTGGTGGAGGGATGGGTATTTGATCATTGTATAATCAAAACCCAAGCACAAAAATTTGTAAGCCTACAACTGTACCTCATGGTGTTTCACTAATAAAAATTTTAAAATTTAAAAAAAAAAAGTGTTAAATGAACTTAGCCCTCCTCCAGAGCCCACAAGACCTAAAAACTTCAATTCAGGCCAAAATCAACCCTACCCCTGAAACAACAACAAAAAAAATTGTTGGGTCTTTCGCTGTGTTCCAAGTGTGTGTATAGGTGCTGGGGGGAAGGAGGAGAGATTATGTGTTCCAGTGAGTCCTTAAGAAAATAACCTCCTAGTACTTTGGAATCAAAAGGAACCGTTTTTTTTAAAACAGCAGCTGTTGGCAAGTCTTTGCTAAATCACGGTTTCATGAGCTTTGACACACTTAGCTTACAATATCTGTGCCTTCCTTCATCACCTTTACCAGCATACTTTCTTTTTGTCCTTTTCCTTTTTTTTTTAATGAAAAATAATAATGAAACAGCCGAGCCTCACACTGTGGGGGGGGCCCCAGGGCAAACTCCAGGAATCTGATAACTTCTGACATGCTAAAATGCTGTGATCTAGCAGGGAGGGAGAGACTTCAGAGTTTTCCAGTGTGAAGACCCGGGGATCCCCAGAAAGTCAAACCAAAGCTCCCGCCACGCCATCCAATCCCTCTCCGCAAACCGAATTGGGAAGAATATACAAAATAATCATAAAAATAAAACAATTAAAAAAAAAAACCAGTCCAAGTCCACACCTTCGGAAAGCAGTCAAGCAAACGGGGGTGGGGGTGGGGGGCAAAAGGTAGTAGCTGGCTGCAGAGGAGAGCCCGGAGGGGCTCAGGGGTGGGGGTGGGGGTGTGGGTGCTGCTGCCCATCGGCGACCCGCAGGTCGGGCCCAGGGCCGCGGAGCCCCGGGGGGACCCGCGCCCTAGCCGCCCCCACCTGCAGGGCGCGCGCACCGCGTGCACGTGCGGCGGGGCGCTCCGGCGGGGCGCGGGGGTGGGGGAGCCCGCGGGGTACCTGGCTCGGCGCGCGTCGAAGTCCCCGGGGCGGCCGGCGGGGCCGCGCAGCACCAGCTGCCGCAGGGAGAGCTGCACGAGCGCGCGCAGCGCCAGCAGGTAGAGCGCCAGCAGCAGCGCGGCGCGCGCCTCGGACAGTCCGCGCGGGCCCCCGGCGCTCCGCTTCCGCGTCCTCTCGCGGCCGCCGCCGGGCGCGTCCCCCGGGGGCTCCGGCTGCAGGGCCGCCCGCTGCGACGGCCGCGCGGCCGCCGGCCCGTCCCGCCGCTCGCTCCCGCCGCGGTGCCGCCTGACGGTCGCCGACTCCGCGCCCCGCTCCATGGCCACCAGCCGCCGCCGCGACCTGCCCCGATCGGCCCCGGCCTGCGACCGCCCCGGGAGCCGCGGCCGCCGCCGCCGCCGCCGCCGCCGCCGCCGCCGCAGCGCCCCCTCGCGAGCGGACGGAAACTGCAGAGGGCCAAACTTCTTTTGATTGGCCCGGCGCGCCGCGGCTCCGCGCTGCGCTTCGCTGCACCGCGCCACGCTCCGGGCGGGCCCTCCAGGGTGGCGGGCTGGGTGTGCGCCTCCTCTGGGAGGGCTCCCCATGCAGAACTCGTGGTCGGACGGAGCTGAGAGGGGAAAAAAACAACCCCAAAAGAGAGCATCACGGACGGAAAACGGGAAGAGAGCGTGGGATCGCTTTCAACAGCATGCACGCCGGGCCGGAGAGGTGGCCCAGCGGACTGCGAGTGCAGGCTGGGCGTGCAGGAGACCTGGTTTCAGTCCCGGGCGTTTGCATCAGAGTTCCCAGAGCACACGGCTTCCCGGTGCGGGACCAGAGAGCAAGCACGCACAAGAAAAGAAGGCTCGTTGCTCCTGAGATGCACCAGACGGAAAGCGATGATGGAGCTTTCCTGAAAAGCAAGAAGCCCGGGTTTAAGAGTAGAGGTAGGACTGATGACTGCTGGATCAAGAAGCTAGGTACACAATGGAACACTGCGTGGCCGTAAGAAAAGATAAAGGTCGTGCGATTTGCTACTGCCTGGGTGGATCTGAAGTGTATCGTGTTAAGGAAATCAGGAGAGGGAGAGACACAGACTCGGAATGAACTTTCTCAAAAGTGGGATGTAAAAAATACCTTGGGGGGGGGGGGAGGGGAAATGCCAAATGCCCAAAGGCAATACAACCGGAAGAGCAGAAGAACTGGTCTTGGGTAGAAAGCGTGCCGCCAAGGCGGGGCTGGGAGAATAGGTTAGGGTCCGGAACACTAGCACGATCGCGGAGGGGAGGGGAAGGCTGCAGGGCTAGAAGGAAACTGGGGATATTGGTGGAGGGAAGTGGACACCCATAAAGGGGTTGATGTTGGAACATTGTATGCCTAAAACTCAATCACAAATAACTTTGTTACTTTGTAGTTCACAGTAATTCAAAAACATTATAAGTTTTAGAAGATTAAAAAAAAAGAAGAAATAGGACTGAGCAGAGGAGTCCCAATTTCTTGTCTCTATGTGCATAATCCAATCAAGATCCTCATAACCTGTGTGAAGTAACTAGCGTTAGAAGTCATCAAATGAAGGAAAATAATAGCTACTACTTATCAAAATACTCGAGACAGAGCCAGAGCAATAATATAGCCGGTAAGGCTTTTGCCTTGCACGTGGCTCACCCGGGTTCAATTCCCAGCATCCCATATGGTCCCCCAGCACCGCCAGGAGTAATGCCCCAGTGCAGAGCCAGAAGTAACCCCTGAGCATTACCTGGTGTGGTCCCCAAAACAAAACAAATAAAAAACCCCTGAGTCATGCCCTATGCTAAGTGCTTCCATTTATCATGAAAATCCTGAAAAGCAAATATTTGTATGCTGACTTAAAAGCTGGAAAACGTAATAGATGTAATAGATAGCAGATAACTTTAAGTCAGTGGGGTCCTGAAGTAACATTCTCTTCTATACCAGAGTATGGGAATCTAGAAAGAATGGCATTTGCTAGGAAGCTAGTACAATGGATAAGATCCATGCATTCGTGAAGCTGACCTGGGTTCAATTCAAACATACCACACATGGTCCCCTTAGCACCTCCAGATTCCACCAGTGATTCCAGAGCACTTAGCTAGGAGTAAGCCCTGAGTAATGTTGGGTGTGAACCAACCCTCCCCCTCAAAAGTAATTCAAGTACACAAAAGCTATTCCCCCTCCATGCCACCCTGGGTTAGAAGATGGTGAATTTTGGATTTTTTTTGTTATTTTAATTATAAATTAAATGTAAACAGTCCCAAGTGGCTACCAATTACAGCTCTGTAGAGAGCCAGGTGGCCAGATGGTGGCGGGAATGTACTGGTTGGCACCGGAAATGAACAATCATTGTGTTTGTCCAATTCAGCTTCCCATCTCCCCAAAGAATTGAGGTCAAGCTTAACCTGAAAAGCTTCAGTTGATTTTTTTTTTTTTCAGAGTGCAGGATTAGATCCTTGACACTGTGTGGTCCTCAGAGCACAAACCAATCCTACAAAACCATCAGGAGTACACACCCAGCTAGGAGTAGCCCCACGCCCTAGTACTACCACAAACCTTCACGGTGTTTGAGCTTATTTCTTCTTGTCCTAGTCTATTCTGTGGCCCAGTATAGGCCTGTGGGTCAGTGTGGGACCCTTGCAAGGCTAAGTTTTCTTCTGGAGATTCTCGTGCAGGTTACATGTTACAGGCCCTTCCTTTACAAACATCATCAAATACAAAGGTTTTCTTTTTTCCAGGGTGGGGTAGGAGGGAGTTGGGGGCAGCCCACTGGTGCTCAGAATCTATTCCCGACTCTGTGCCTACCAGTGACACCTAGCAGTGTTTGTGGGCCATATGTGGTGCTGGGTATCAAAGAAGACCACTTGGTAAGGCCTATACTGTACCTCCTATACTATCTCTCCAGCCCCAAATGCAATGTCTTTGTATAAACACAAAGTTATTAATGAACTTTTTACTGACTCTAACAACAGTGGGAATTTGAAGAGATCAATAAGGAAGCAATAAAAGCTGTTGTCCACACTGAGTGATTTGTTTCCCAGAAAACAACTTTCCAAGACTGGGAATACAACTAGTGAAACCGTTTTCCATTCCCACTCCACATATTCCATCTCATCCCGGCATTGCTGAGTGTGGCCATGGAAACCCCCCTAAGCTTGAACAATACCAGAGTGACCCAACCTCCACCACCACCAATAACAACACAACACACACACAAACACACACACACACACTATAGCTAGGTATGGTCTCTATTTTAAAACAAATTCCATATGGCACTGAAGCAATAATATAGCACATAGAACACTTGCGTTGCATGTGGCCAACCTAGACTTGATTATCAATACCCAATAAGTTCCCCAAGGCCCATCAGGAGTGATCCCTGGGTACAGGCCAGGAGTAAGCCCTGAGTACGACCCTGAGTGTGACCCAAAATAAGTAAATAAATAAATAAAATCAGTAATTTTTACTAGCAATGGAAATGCCTCTCTCCAATAGCACTGAGCTCTAGCTGAATCCCAATAAATGCAGGACGTAGTGGACTTTTGTTCTTTGAATTTGAAAAGTACTGGCTGTGAGACGTCAGCCTTTCATCAACTCAGAGGGAATATCAGGCCCTCACTATGTGGAGTTTACCTCAGTAGGGAAGTTGCACAAAGGCTGACTCGCTTCGAGAAACTTTAAAATGCCCCTGGGATCCCTCACTGGAGAGAATTCAAAGACCATGAGCATGAAGGATGCAGCAGGCCTTGGGTGCCTTGCGAATCCAAGCAGTCATCTTCCACTCCTGACTGCTAAAGTAAAAAGCCCCTCTGCTTCAAGGGTCTGTGTTCCCAGCATAGAGTCCCAAAGCTCCCTGACCTGATGAGAAGGTATCTTGCCCCAGGCGACTGGTCTTGCCTAGGATTTGGGCCTGCCTGACCTACTCTGTCCAGTCCTCCTGCTGCACTGGAGTGATTCCCACTCACCAGGTTTCCTTCAGCAAGATCTTCTCACACACTAAGTGCTTAGATCTTCCCACTAATCAACTCCTACCTCACCTCAAAATTTCAGCTTAAATAGCATATTCTTTCCCCAGAAAGAAATCTCTTATGTCAAGTGCCAGAGGGACAATTCGAAGGGCTGAGCACATACTTTGTGTGAGAGGCCTGCATTCAGTCACCACAGGAGTGATCCCTGAGCACAGTCACATCTCCCAAAGACAATCTCCTGATAAAATTAAGCCAGTTTCCACAAGGATCTCATAACGCTCAGATTTTCATGTAATTATTTCATTGTTAATTAAATTATAATCACGTGATTAATTATTAATTTAATTATTTCTCTTTAGAATGTATGCATGAAGGGAAGAATCATATCTAGTTTTTAATCATGATTTTTTGTTCCTTTCTCTTAACACAATGCGCAATCATGGTATGTAATCAATCCTTAGTTCCTGAAGGAGTGAGTACATAAAAACAATTTTATGGCAGCCTTTTTAGTTTAACTAAGGAAGATCCTTTACATTCTATAAAAGTGTTCCCCAAAGTAGGTGATTTCACCCCCCTCCAAGGAGGTTCAGGAATGAATCAGTTGCCGTAGTAGCAGCAAGTACATTTGGGGGAGTGCTTTCGGTTTGCTCGTTTAAAGAAGATAGATTACCAGGGGGTGCTAAGTGACTTTTTTTTTTCCTGAAAAAAGGCAAATAAGTTTGGGGATCTCTGGACATACTGTGAGACTAAAGACAAAGTCTGCCCATGTATTTACCAGTATGCCCACCACGTCCAACTCTGTGTGTAATTCATGGTGTTCACTCAATGCACAAGAAATCAGCAAATGATCATCACTGTATCACTGTATCACTGTCATCCCATTGATCGTCGATTTGCTCGAGCGGGAGCCAGTGACGTCTCCATTCATCCCAGCCCTGAGATTTTAGCAGCCTCTTTTCCCAACGCTGCCACATTGGAGACTCTTTCAGGGACAGATCAATGAGACCCATTATTGCTACTGTTTTTGGCATATCGAATACGCCATGGGTAGCTTGCCAGGCTCTGACCATGTCATTTTTTTAATTTTAGAGCCACAGTCTAGATATCGTCTTCCCATAAACTAGCGCCTCCATCTTCTTTGGAATATAAAATCTCAGAAACAGTTCTTTGAAAACTGCAACATCACAGGAAGTGGAGGTTTCCTAGAGGGTAGACATAAGTATCTTGTATCTTTAAGTTTTACTTATTTAGTTCTTTCACTTGCTGGACCAGATTGGGTTCTATAGCTTATTATAGGAACAAGTTAAACCTTTCAGGAGCTGTGCTACTGATTAAATCATTTAAGCTCTTTTTCTGAATGGATAATGTATGTTGAGCACTACCATTTCTGTTGTTAGTTTTTTTTTTTTTAGATCGTTAAAGCTGAAGCTGGGGTTT